TTATCTAGGCCTTCCAAGGTGTTAAGGCTAGTTGCCACGTTACCAAATTACATTTGAGTACCGCTGTTACATAGTGTTGCAATCCATTGACCTTTTCAGCGATTGGGGGGCCATTTTAAATTCTCTTGTGAGATGTTCAGGGGACAAATTAGTATGTATTTGCCCCCTAAGCATTCCATACTAGCTATTTGAAACAATAGAATTCAAAATGGCTGCTGTATCACTGAAGAGGCCCATTATGAACATTTGCTTTGAAAATTACCTTCAAACTTAAGTTTGGTGGCCTATTAATATTCTTTACATAAACCAAGGCTAGGGCTAGAACTCAGACTGTTCAATTTGGAGGCGAGCATACTAACCATGAGGTCACTGCATGGTGTTTATTATATGGCACTTGACAGCTTAAAAAAACAAAAAAACAAAAAAAAAACCAGAAAATTCATGGCTTATGACTGTTTCAAAAATCCTGACCAAGAAAGAACCAATCAGAATGCTTGGATTAACCTCAAGACTATCTTGCCATATAATAAAGATCTTTATTCATCCCCATTGATTCATAACCAGTTTTGAGAGGGTTTTTCTTTGTACTTCTTTTAAGTAAATTGTGTAGTTCCAGAAAATATCCATACTTCCCCCACTGATAGGATTAAAATTTCCTGGGTGGGTAGATGGGGGTTCTGTAAGACCAAACAATTTAAAGTAATGTATGATAACTTAGCTTAATTGGAATTTCCAGAGGGGTGGGGGCCTTCCCTTCCTTGGGGGAGGTATGGATATTGTCTCAGTTTGGTATAAATAAACAATAGCCTCCATTTGGCATGAAAATATGCTAGGATATTTGTCCACGGATATTATTTGTTCCGAGAAGTGAACAGTTTTCCGAGGGCATAGCTTGAGGAAAACTGAGCTTTGAAGAACAGATAATGTCCAAGGACAAATTAAAATCCGAGCATATTTTCGCCCCGAATGGAGGCTATTGTGTTTATTATTCTTCAAATCTTTTTCGCAACGTGCACAGTTTTGAAAATTGGGGAATATTCTTAGATACTTCCCAGTTTTAGCTGGGGAATATTCAGTCATGTGATGCGTTTAGACCAATCAGATGGTCAATGATTATTGATTTTTTGAGGGTGGAACAATTCTTGGTAGCCCAGATGAGATGCTTGATCTTGGAGACACAGAGGTCACCCAAGATGTTTTTATGGATTTCTTAAGTGGAATTGAACAACAAAATTTTAGGTTCATCACTAAAACTCCAGGGGGGTACTCTGGATTTCAAGTGACAGGGATGATCAAAGGATTTCAATTGAGGCTTGAAATTTTTGACTTCGGGGATTTTTTTGGGTAGGAAAATTTTGCCAAGTATTTTTTTTGGGTCGCTTGATTTAAGTAGGGATTTTTTTGGGTATTCCAAACAATCTGAAGATTCATGGAACAGTAGTTCCCAGATGGTGTAATGGATAAACAAACACAAACATTCCATTACTAATGTTTCTATTTTTCGTGTTGTATTATTTAGTGCTTTCACAAAATTTTGATGGCTTGGAAATTCAGCATGGGATTTTTTTGGAGTTAAATTTTGGTCCAGGGATTTTTGGGGGGTTTTGTTTGAAGCCTTAGGGATTTTTTGGGGTTTTGATTTTTGCCCCCATTTGATCATCCCTGTCACTTGAAATCCAGGGTACCCCCCCTGGGACTAAAACTAGCATTTAACAAATCATTCTTATCCCAAAAAATATTCAGTAAACATTATTTAATGGGATTTTGATTTAATATTAATTAACAGGTTATGGTAAGGTGCAGTTGAATATTTTTACAGAAACTGTGCAGTATAAATTTTAATATTATTATTACCATTAATATTTTTAAATGATAAAGTTATGTAAACTTGTTGTAAAGTAGCCCATTTGGAATAAGGGTGCTAATTGTAAAATGCCTTTGAATAGGGAGTGGGGGTAGCATTTTACTTCTTTTCAGAAAAGAGGGCACTAAATTTGAATTATTATAATAATTGTGGTGAAGAAATATAAAACAATTTATACTCGTAACAAATGCCATGATAATTTTATAAAATACAACATACTTGATTTATGCATGTAAAACTTTGTAATTTGTTGTTGTTCATTCCTAACAGAGGTGACAATTACCACCTTTTTGAACACAACTGCAATAGCTTCCTCTCCAGAAGTTGCCATGTTCTTGACGGGCAATAGGATACCTCAACATATTCAGGATCTAAATCCCTCAGAAGTTCTCAGCATATAAGCTACAATGCATATGTATCAATTACCAATAACATCGAAGAATATAAACAATAGTTCTACACCAAAGTATTATTGGAAACCCAGCAAAAGTGTGAAGTAAATCGTACCTCTCAGGAATCTTTGCCATTTGTTGGTGGTTAGTTTGGAACCTAAATCTTGTTTACTTTTCAACAGTTTTGCTTCAGTTTTCGCAAAACAATTTTTCAAGCTAAATTTTTCGAGTAAAATTTATAATTCACCGACTGAAGGACTGAAATATTCTGTAGAGTGTACATAACAGTCAGAGGAGCTGATAGTATCTAATATGTAATCATATCAAACAACCCTTACTTGTTCTCAGCTTATGACTTGATTGATTAGTTTTCTTGAATTCGAAGGTGACCTGTCAAGTAGTCACATTCTAACATTTCAATAGCTATACATTTTTTTTATAATAGATGTGTTCAGCATTTGAAGGATGGTCCAGTCTAATGTTGTATTACAAGGTTGTCTGTGAGGTTGATACCACCCTTAAACTTTACCATGTATTTAGCTTTATTTAGTCTTAAGAAATGCTATAAACTGCTTCCTGCAAAAGCCACATTTTGGATCCGAAGTATTTTGATCTGATTATGTATATGTTAATAACCACAATATTTTTATAAGCGAAGTGCTTAACTTCTTTTTTTTCAGGGTCTTTGGTCAGATGATAAGACCCATTATCAACTCCATATCAGTGAGACTATCTGGAGGGACATCAGTAACAGGCTCAGCAAGATCGTCAAGAGACCTGGCCAGAAACGATATTTGAACCAAGAGATACCCCTTCTGCACAGACGGGTCACTGAGACATCAGCCTCATGGCTGGTGAGTACTGATACAGCACAGTGTAGTACTTAAAGTCACTGCAGAATTATCAAATAAATAGTCACTGCAAAATTAATCCAGTAATTGATGAAAATTAGATACAGCTTGTTGCAGGCTCTCAGAAGGTGTTTATAACAAAATAATAATCTTAAGCTGTTACTGGTTAATTGCTAGGTACTTATTACACTGATT